GGCCATTTGTTCCCCGATACCGGTACTGGCCCCCGTCACCAGAACCCTGGCCCCTCTGAGAGACTCTGGAACAGAAGGATTTCAATCAGAGACTACTGTCCCTCTGTCAGGTTTGGCATTACTGGACACATAAGTTTGGAAACAAAAATGAATGAATAAAGCAGTTTTGGGTGATCAAGGGGGGCTTCTCACCAGCAAAACCTCCCTCGGCAAAGCAAATTTGTTCAGCATAGCACGGTACTCAGATTTCAGTGTTTCAGTTGAACAGGACAAGGTAAAAAAGAAAAGAAAAAAAAAAAGAAACAGGCTCAACTAGATTCACGTGAGATGTTCTAATAGAGAAGATATTTGTAAATCAGTCAGTGTAGCTCAGCAGATGTGGACCTGAGCACATAAAGTAGAGGTTCTAGATACATTCAGATTTGAGTAGAGCTCATGCAGAACTGTGGTGAAGGTTGGTGTCAGATAACTTTGTTTATGGGCCTTCACGTTGAGGTCGGCTCGTCCTCATAAATCTGCTTTGCAAACAATCCCAGGAGAGGTGGAGAGCTTTCCTGTGTCAGCTCAGAGGGACAGAATCCTGCTCTGAAAAGCTTTATCTCACTGGTGCTGTTATCTGCTTTCCCTTGCACTTTGCTACCTGAACACTGGAGCTCTACACCACGCACGGGCCCTCCGTAGACTGTCGAGGGATATTCGAAAGCAGGTTCAACAGCACGTGTGTCTCACACACAGATTAGTCATCAAAATGACTCAGTCTGCTCCAACTCACCTGGATCCAACCCGGGAGTCGTCCAGCGCACGGCCGCGTACGCCACCAGCACGCTCACACTCAGGATCTTTGTGAACCCCCCCATCCTGGAGTCTTTCTCCGGCCCAAAGCGCCTCACCGAGAAGTGGACCAAACTGTGTCTGAGATCTGGCTTTGGAGGAACTGCTCAGTTTGTTTTTTTCCTTTTTTCCCCCTGAGGCTTTGGGTGTGTTTTTTTCATTCTGCGTTGGACTTTGGCCCGCCCTGCTCTTCATCTCTGGCAGGAATGTTGCAAAGTGTGTCCCCTATTCTGTTTAAAACAAGCTTTTTTAGACAAACTTCAGGGTGTAAAAGACCTCATCCGGTGAAAGGGAAGAATCTCAGTGACCTTATTAATCCGTTTTGCATTTTCACTCAATAAATTTGAGGCTTGCTCCTCTTCTGCTGGCTCTGCCGTGTGTGAAAAACTGCTGTGAGGCTGCTGTATAGAGGCCATGTCACCTTTTCGCTTTTGGTTTGATTTATTGAGTCAAAGCCGTTTGTTGCACGGCGCCGAACACAAGCAGCAATAAAATGTGCAAAAAACTTTTATTACTCATTACATAATAATAATAATTACAAACCGTCTTTTGATTCTGCTACGAGTTCAGAATGGGAGCACAGTTGTTCTACACGACACACAGACTGTCCAAAGCACTGCCGGCGCGGGGGGGGTAGTGTTGACCTCTTTGTCTTTATTTGAAAGCGGAGCGGACCGCCGCCGCCTCGCGTCAAAGGAAAGTTTTTCCGAAACCTTCAGGCACTGCTCACGTGACGCATGCAGAGTTTTGGCCCAAAAGAAAAAAGTGCTTATAGACGGGTTCACGGCGACTCTTTAAGAGTCCAGATGAGCAGGGGTACACGGTCTGGGTGAGACGGAGGTCTGCACACACACCCGGTCTGGTAGCCGCTGACCACTTTGAAGAGTATTCATTATTTTTTCTTGTTATTAGACGATGATATTTTGCAGTATTTGTATAAATCGGAGTAACCACGACAAGCAACGTTACAAGGAACCATACACAAGTTTTACATGTTAAACACTGTCCTCTCGATGTATTGCAGCAAATTTTTTCTTTTTTTCCTTCATGCGTGTAAATTAAAGCAGAATTCTGCTGCCTGCAGAAAAAAGCACTTTGCATAAACTATAAGACTCTACCATAACCTAAATATGTAAACTTTATACAATAAAGTGCTCCCCACGATATCAACAGTGAGATAATACCAACTACGACGACGGGCGTTGCATTTGGAGAATATGGGTGCAAAGCCTTCCAACGAGCCTTCAGAAGCACGGGGGGGGGGGGGGTGAAGAGCGGCAGCACGGCGCTGCAAAACCACAAGCCGGAAGGCACTTAATGATCTGTGTGCGCTCAAATCTAAATGCAAATTTAGCGGTTTGCTCACAAACAGGAAGGTCCTGCTGCTCCCGGCGCCGCTGGACTCGGGACTGGGACTGGGACTGGGACTAGGACTGGGACTGGGAGCGTAAAGGTTTCCTGGGGAGGGAAGCGGGGCGTGCGGGGTGTGTGTGATGTGTAGGCCGCTCACAGGCTGTGAACGGTAGAGCGGTCAATGTGGTGCAAAGATGCAGGAGGACACTGGCGTCCGACAGGAAAAGTGCCCCGTGAAGGTGGTTTTGCTGCTTCCATTTCCTCCTTCCTGAACTCGACCGGAAAAGACTTAAACAGAAAACATCTGCGCTGCGAGGCTTATCGAGCTTATTCGGTATATCAAAAATCCTAAGAAAAGCTCCCGGCGAGCTTTTGGCCCAGCTTACGTGGTCACTGAGATTGAATTCAGAGGACCGCTCCGTTCGCTTATCACTTATCAATGGTAACAAAGGCGGTAAACAGCTGCGCGGGCTTATGTAAGGAGGAGGGCAGCAAGGCTAAAAATAAAAATAAAAGCTGGAGCCGGGCAGAGCGGTGCTACAGTTCGGCTGTGCATACCAACGGGAAACGGGGGGGGGGAAGCCGCGCGCACACCTGGACAACAACAGGTGGCGCCACCGGGCTCTGGGGGGGGGGGGGGCGTCCACTAGGTGGTTTTGACCAGGTCGTAGACGTGGATATGAAAGTCATCGTCGTATTTGATGTAGTAGACGGAGGGCTTGGCCGGCACCTGGTAGATGACCAGGCCCGTCCTCTTCACGCCCTTGTCGGTGACGTACTCCACCTGCTTCCCCACCAGGCTCTCCGTCTCCTCCCCCGGCTTCCTGTCGGCGGGCAGCAGGTGCTTGTTTTCTGCCGAGAGGAGCAAAAAAAGCGTTACGCCACCTGAGACAACACGGGCCCGGCAAACGTTTTCTGACCGGCTAACGCTACGTCCAGCAGCTGTGGAGCCACCGCTGCCACGTGGCACGATTTGTTTTGGCGGTTGATGAAACATGTATTACTTTCGAGTCTTTTGTCTGTCAGTAAAAGGAACAAAAAGGAAGTTATCCAAGTTCTGAAGGAAGTTTGAAATTAACTTTCAAAAACTTAAGCTTAAAACTACGTAGTCTACGTGTTGCTGTGTTGGCTGCCTCTCTCTGCTCCCTCTCTCTCTCTCTCGCCCTCTCTTTCCCTCACCCCCAACCTGCCGAGGCAGATGCCCCCCCACCCTGAGCCATGGTTCTGCTCGAGGTTTCTGCCTGTTAAAAGGAAGTTTTTCCTTGCCTGTGTCGCCTAGTGCTTGCTCATGGTGGGAATTGTTGGGTTTCTGTAGTTAACTTCAGAGTAGGGTCTGACCTGCTCTGTTTGGAAAGCGCTGTGAGACAACTGTTGTTGTGATGTGGCGCTATATAAATAAAATTTAACTGAATTGAAAACCTTCAGTCCAAGTTTTTGTGGACAAATTGATAGGAAAAACTCACATGGGATCAATTCAGACAAAAAAAACAACCTTTTAAAGCAGGGACCTAACGTGTGTGCACGTGGTGTTGAGCTGATGTTATTTATAGAGCTGGGGGGTGATGTTATAGGACTCTGTGAGGCCGGAGGCTGGAGGATGGGGGTACCTGCTTCAGGCAGAATCCTGAGGTCTCCGTCTGCGTAGTCGTCCCACAGCTGGTACATGTACAGAACGGGGTCCTTTTCGTAAGTGATGTAGTACCAGTTGGTCATGACCGGCGCTCTGGAGAGGACCATGCCCCGCCACTCGTTCTTCTCGCCGTCCTCCTTTTCGAACAGATGCTCCACGGCTTTGCCCACCAGCTCCTCCGCCCCGGGCGGGATCTTGATTTTGTTGTTGACTGTGGGGGCACAGAGCGGCCGCCGTGAGAACGGGCGGGCGGCGAGACGCTGGCCGGCCCCCAACGTTCCAACGCCAACTCACCCACTTTCTCCGACAGGACCTGCAGGTTGGACACCCGCTCGTCTTTGAACAGCTCGATGCCGTAGACGCAGTCGAAGCCGTCGTACTTCACCATGAAGAGCGCGGGGTTGACACTCAGCCGGTCCAGGACCGTCCCCTTCCACTTGCTCTGGTTGCCCCTCTCGCGCCAGTTGTGCTGGATGCGCACGCCCAGGATGCAGCCGGGGTCCGGCGCCGCCGCCTCGCTCAGCTCCCCGCTGCTCCGCTTCCTGGGGAGAAGAGCGAGACCCACCTCAGGTTACAGCCCCACACCGGGCCCGCTCAAACCAAAGAAGGGAACGCAGCCCCGGGGAACAGCAGCGAACCCATTCAGGCCTTTTTATTCGTGGGGGAAAAGATTCAAAGCTGTCTTTATATCAGGATCGGTTTGATGTTTTACTAGTCTCACAAAAGTGGATCTTTTCTTTTCTAAGCCGTGTGTCAGTGTTTTCTCCTTAGAATCAACAGACAGGTCTTTTAGACCCTAATCTAACTCCATCCATCCATCCATTATCAATACCGCTTATTCCCTGATGGGGTCGCGGGGGGAACTGGAGCCTATCCCAGTGGTCAACGGGCGAGAGGCAGGGTACACCCTGGACAGTCCGCCAGTCCATCGCAGGGCCCCACACAGGACATACAAGGACAAACAACCACTCACACTCACATTCACATTCACTCCTAAGGGCAATTTCCCCAATCTCCAATCAACCTAACATGCAGGTTTTTGGACTGTGGGAGGAAGCCGGGGAACCCGGAGAGAACCCACGCAGACACAGGGAGAACATGCAAACTCCACCCAGAAGGGTCCTGGTTCCCCCGGGATTCGAACCCAGAACCCTCTTGCTGGGAGGCGACAGTGCTAACCACCACACCACCGTGCCGCCCCCTAATCTAACTCGAGATTTCAAATCTGTTTTGCCAACAGCAGCAACACCCACCATTCTCACAAGCAGTGAGATTAAACACACAAAATGTGTTCATGTACACGTTGGATTCAGTTCTATGTATCTATGCAAAGAGAACGAATAAAAAGCCACCGGCCGTACATCTCTGACGTAAACGCCTCTTCAAGGTGAGATGTTTTCATTTTATGGAAGAGTTTTTATTTTATCGTGACTGCTAAAACACCGGAATCATACATCAGTAATCAGACCCGGCTCGGTGGTGATACAGGTGTTTGTTGTTTGGCTGACATGGTCAAACAACAGAGGTCTCACAGGTTTATTTGTTTTTCTAGCAGGAAGTTCAATTTGTGGGCCCTTATTTTGAATTTGGAAACTGAAAGAAAATTCTTATGAGGCTGAGCTTCGGCCTTTTATTCTGCTATTTGTGAGTGTTAGTGAGGCGAAACATTGTGTGATTTCCATCAAATTCTGCAGCAGTTCCGGTCGGCCGCTCCTTCCACCCTTCAGCTTTTTTCCTCTCAAAGCTTTAAAGCAGGGGTGTCAGAATCCAGTCCTCGAGGGCCGCTGCCCTGCAGGTTTTTAGAGGTAACCCTTTTTCAACACACCTGATTCACATCAAAGGGACATTAGACAGGTGCAAAGCTCAACAATGTCCAGAGGATATCCAATTTAATAAAAATCAGGCGTGCAGAAGCAGGAAAATGTCTAAAACCTGCAGGACAGCGGCCCTGGAGGACTGGATTCTGACACCCCTGCTTTAAAGTTTTTCTGGATCCAGAAGAAAACGGCATCACGTCAGGTGTCTACGTACCTGCTCCTTTTCTTGGACATGCCTCCGGAGATGTCAAGGTTACTATGAAAGAGAAACAGAGAGAGAGAGAGAGAGAGAGAGACAGGGCAACGATCAGTGATTATGCAACTGAGCAGAACTGCTGCCAGACACATGGACAGAGATCCAGGATCGGTGGTCCAGGTACCAGGTAAGGGACCAGGTTTGGGACCAGGTCCTGTCTCCTTTGCCTCCAAAAAGGGCTGCAGTCTGGTTTGCTCACAGACTGACAGCTCCACGGACCAATGGGCCAGCACGGCGGAAGAACTTCCTGAGTCTCTCCGGTTCCACGGCCGTGGAGGTCACCGTTCACAAAACCCCTAAAGCCCCGAGCGGGAACGACCCCCCCGCGGCGGAGTCGTGGGCGACTTACGCCGGTCACGACACGGAGGAGGTAGACCCCGGCTGCGACACACGTAGCGGGCGACCCCGAAAAAACCCGCACAGTCCCTGCAGTAGCTCACCTGTCCCGGACTAACCGCTCCTCCTCACACGGGCTAAAGCCTCCCACTCTCTGTTCTACCTCAATGCAGCTGTTTCCCGGGAGGTGAGCGGAGGCGGCCGGACGGCTACATCCGCTCCCGGAGCCCCCCGGCGGCAGCTAGCAAACACCGTCGGTAGCGGGGCAGTTTGTTAGCCCTATACGTCTCCGCGCGGGAAGTACTTTAATTACCTTTAAGCCGTTTTCATGTCGGGTGTCGGTAAGTTCGGTTGACAAGTCGAGGAAATATTGCCACACACCAGCCCGACCCCGCCGGTGCAAATCTCGCGAAACCTGTGGAAAATGGGAGGCGGGCGTCATGGAGGGAGATCACTCTAGTTCCCAGCAAGCCCGGGGCGAACGGGGCGGAAGAGGGACGCGGTAGGGGGCGCGCAAAGGAGCATGGGTAATGGTGTTTTTCGCTCACTCAGTCACACGGACTTGTGACAACTGGAAGAGGACGTTCATGTGGTCAGCGGTTCATGCCGTGCTGGAAAAAAAAAACGCTACCGTGATGATGCGCACAGGGGACAGACGGCACGAAGAGTTCATTCAAAAATAAGTAAATCTAAATGAGGTCAGAGGCTCGTGAGTGACGCAGATGTAGCGTGTCGTTTGATTTAAAGGGGCAAAGCTCCGCAGACACCGACCCTGCAAAGGAACGTGATGATCAGATGTAGGGCCCCAAGGACCGTGAGGGGCGCAGGGGGTCACGGGGACCCTGGTCACAGGAACTGGAACTGTAGCAATCACTCAAGAATTTCTTAGATTTAGTCTATTCCAATATAGAAAGCATTTGTTCAAGGTGAACAATGGATTTCAAGTTTCGCACCAAGAAGAAATGCCATTGCTCAAAAAATGAAATGGAGAGTGAGTACACAGAGAAAAGGGGCTAAATGACCCCAAAGTACTGAAATGAGTACGACAAAGGATAAAACACAGGTGATGCAAGAAATAGAAATACAAGAAAGCCTAAAAGTGTGAGAAACATGAGAATATAGTCAGTAACCTATATGAAAATCAATGCGTCCAAACCTTTTACTGGTACAGTGAATTATATTTGAGATTACATGAGTAGACTTATTCAAAGTGAACCAAATAAATTTTTTCTTTGGTTTTCATCGAACTTGAATTTCAAATGTTTAGATTATTACAAGTTTCTAAACGTATCCAGATGGGTAAGCCTTAGTTTATTGGACTGATTCCAGCAGAGGGCAGCATAGTATCCTAGTTTGTAGAGCAACAAATAAAGAAATCAGACAATTTCCTTTAATATTCAGAAATTAAGCAGGGCCTGTGTAATATCTAATTGGGTAACTAAATCCAAGGAAGTGATTTTACAATCAGCTAATTGAGTGTTATCTTCTATAAACCGTTTATCTCATAGTGACAATCACATGGGACATCGCTTTAACTCATTTTATTTCTTTGCATATTCTTAACAGACATTCAAAGTGTTTGTTTTCAGTGACATTTGGGATGGAAATACACGTCAGAAGCTGTTTTTCAGCACCACACCAGACTCGACTCCATTAAAAATAAATCTTTTATTTATGTGTCTTGTCCTCATTGTGGATTTTGTTCATCATTCTGAGAAAATTGTGCACCAGCTATATAGTTTGGGGCAAAGCTGTACATCCCGCTCATATTTGTAATTTCACAGGAATATCAAATTCACTTTTCAGCAAAGCGTAAAAGACTTAATTTATTTGTTGAATGGGGCAAAGATTTGAAAATCTTTTAATGGAAATACCCATTCAGCCTAATTGTTGCTCAGCACGTTTGTGATCCATCTCCTGAAAGATGAAACGCGTGAGTAGACGTCGGGGGTAGAAGGGACTCCACATCGACGTCCAGAAAAGGAGACGACCCCCGCTGCTGCTCCGTCACACACCAACGGACCCCCAGAGTCTCCCTTTGAGGAAAAACACTCAGTGAATATTCACGATGCAACCATTTTTTTGTTTTTTGTTTTCCTTTCCTATCATTTTGGCCTGGAGTGAAGTCAAAAGCATCAGCTTACTGAGCAGAAGCCCTGTGGGACTCTGTCTCCCACCCCCACGCCACAGATCATTGAGCCGAGGATGGGAACGCCGCTCCACCTCCGCTGACACGCCCTCCGCGACAGGATGGTGACGTTGACTTCCTGGAGTCTGTTGGCCAGGGTGTTGTTATCGCCTATGTCCCCCCACCCAGGTATGAGGCAGTTACTGGGTGTTCTGACCCTGCCCGGCTTCAGAGGGATCACCTGCACGGCATCATTCAGCTGGGCTCTGCTGCTGAGCTGAGAAGAGTTTTGGCATGTTCTGTTACATAGTAAATAGATGTGCTTTTTAATTGTGATCATAAACGTGCCACCCTCACCTTTAGGAGCATGATGTCATTTGCAAAGTCATTGTAGTTTGGATGTGGAATGGCTCTGGCAACGCGGAACTCCTGCCTTGTTTGCTCATTGCCGCTCAGGGTATCAAGGCCCACCACAACAGAAAATTGTCTGGAAATCACAACATTGTGTTTGAAGTTGAGATGTTGGGTGGATGTTTCTATTTCCTCTCCACTCTCTGCATGTTAACTGTTTAAGAAGACAGGGCTACATACATGCAGGTGCTAATTGTTACGCTTTCAGTGTTCTTTTTTTTTTAGAATCAAATTCTAACATAATTTCCCACAATTTTAAAGTACCCAGTCTTTGTAAACCTTTGTCTATTGGAATTACATGTCACTTTTGATTGTTATGAAACTGTGCAATACATGCGAGGCATGACAATATGGGGGTTGTCAAGTTGGAAACCATTTTGAATTCGTAGTTGCTGCTAAAAGAGTTTAAAACGGGTCTCACGTGTTTAAGTTGCAGTGTGCTGCTGTGAGCACAAAGTCCTCCCTCACCAAAGCTCCTCCACAGAAATGGCTCCCTCGCACCTGCAGAGAAGCCATGAAGGGGCGCGAGTGCGGGGCTGCATCTCTGCCCCCAACGATGTGAGAGCCGTCAGCCCCTGAAATACAAAACACAGCATCTTTAATGAGTGGGTAGTCTGAAGGATTTCCCTTTATCTGACTCAGATTGTGAGATTCCATCTCCATCTTTAACACAGGGACAGTGAGGCTGGCTTACCTCTGAGGGCAAAGAGCAGGAGGGTCAAAGTGATGACTGCCATGGTCTTCAGTGAATGCCAGGCAGGCCTCCAACAGATTTATAGCTCATGGAGAAGAAAACTTCCTCCTTATTTAACAGTTTTTATTGCATAAGTGCTACTGTTGGGCATTTTAGTTGCTTCATTTCCAAAAGAAACCTTTTCACAACAGGCTGCCATTTATGTAAGAGGCTGATGTTGCTACGATGTGGCCTGAAAGATATTCACAAAGACTGTTTTGCCTTTATGTTCGAGCAAAAATGAAAAAAGCGTGCATCTGCTTAGCACAAATGCTATTGTTGCTATGGACAGTTGCTTAAATGCGCTTTGTTCGTGCTAACAGAGGACGAAAAGGGAAACGCAGTATAATGGATTCATGCAAAGCCTCCGTTTGACACTTTCAAAACGGTTTATTTCTCAAACTGTCTGTCTCAGAGTGAAATGTTTCCCCTTTTGTGTTTGGTTACATCAGCTTCGGGTTTCATGCCGCCCAGCTTACACGTTTGCCCAGGCTTGCTCACCGTTTGGGGCTGATGGTTTCACACTAGGAAAACCAGAAAGCCTCGATTCATGCTCAAGTTACTAATGTTGCACCAAAGGGATTTAAAATAACTGTAAAGTTAGATGAAAATGAATTTAAAAAACGGCCTTTTGAAAATGTCTGCTTTTTCCGCTGGAATAAGAACAGATTTCAGCAAAATTTGCCACGATGAAGTTGTTGCTATGTTAGTTTTTCCTGTTCTTGGACTGCACCGATGCGAAGAAGTGTGAAGTAGATAACACAGCCGCCTCACAAACCAGATGAGTGGCACGATGGCCTAGTTTTTAGGCCGGGTGCTAAACAAGCTGCAGATTTCACCACGTTTTCCTGCAAAGTCTCATGAAAAGTAAAGCTGTGTGGGCACTCCGTCAGACAATCAACACGTCGACAGGGGATAAAATATGTAAACACAAAAAAAATAAACAGAGTAAAAGACTATCAAGAGACTGCACACACATTAGCTCAGAAATTGCCTTTTTTATGTAGTTATTTGTGAGTGTTAGTGAGGGGAAACATCGTGTGATTTCCATCAAATTCTTCAGCAGCTTTGGTCGGCCGTTGCTTCCACCCTTCTGCTTTTTCCTCTCAAAGCTTTAAAGTTAAACGGCATCACGTCAAAGTCTACCTACCTACTCCTTTGCTTTGACATGGCTCTGGAGAATAATCAGATGGGAATTGAATAATATTTTCTCTATTCCAAAATAGAAAGCCTCTGGGCAAGGTGAACAATGGATTCAAAGTTTATAACCAAGAGGAATTAAATACTATTGCTCAAAAATCAACAAGCGAGTCAGCGACTACATCGAGAGAAGGATCAAAATGCCCCAAAAGCACTGGAACAAATACAACACGGGATAAAACACAAGTGGTACCAGAAATAAAAATACAAGAAAGCCTGAAAGTGTGAGAAACAGCAAGACTATAATCAGTGAGAGCGAGAATAATCAGTAACCTCTATGAAAATCAACGAGTTTGAACTTTTTACTAGTACAGTAAATTACATTTGAAATTACATGAGTAGACCTATCCAAAGTGGACTCAAGAAAACAGTTATTACAAAATTTGAATAAATGATGGGAATGGGAATTTTTTTTAAATTTTCCCAAGTTTCTAAACGTATCCAGATGGGTAAGCGTTAGTTTATTGGACTGATTCCAGCAGAGGGCAGCATAGTATCCTAGTTTGTAGAGCAACACATGGAGAAATCTGACAAATTTCTCCAATGTTCAGCTGCCAGGCTTGTGGTCATTCAATCTGTCTACACTGTCCAGTCAGAGCTCAGCTCTGACATGAACAGTAACTTTAATGCTAAATATGAATAAAATGTTATTTTATATTATTTGTTTTTGCAGTTGAATGACCCAGGAAAGTGTACCTTATAGTGAGTGACTAAGACATGGATGTGTCCAAATAGCTACCGTCTGTTGTTGCACATCAGATGAAGAGTGACATTTGGGATGACAATGCACATCAAAGCTGTGTTACGGCACCACACAAGACTCGGCTCCATTTGAAAATGCTTTTATTTATGCGCCTCTTTGTCGTTGTTGATTTTGTTCATCATTCTGAGAAAATCGTGCACCACTTAAGCAGCTAAATAGTTTTTTGGCAGAGCTTTATTTCCCGCTCATATTTGTAATTTCACAGGAATATCAAATTCACTTGTCAGCAAAGCACGAAAGACTAAATGCATGAGCCGAATTGGGGCAAAGATTTGAATATCTTTCAAATACCCATTTAGCCTAATTGTTTTTTAGCACGTTTGTGATCCATCTGCTGAAATATGAAACGCGTGAGTAGACGTCGGGGGTAGAAGGGACTCCACATCGTTGTCCAGAAAAGGAGACGACCCCCGCTACTGCTCCGTCACACACCAACGGACCCCCTGAGTCTCCCTTTGAGGGAAAAACAGTCAGTGAATATTCACGATTGCAACCCTTTTTTTCCCCCTTTCCCATCACTTTGGCCTGGAGTGAAGTCAAAAGTATCGACTTACGTAGCAGAAGCCCTGTGGGACTTTGGCTCCCACACCACAGATCACCGAACGGATGAAGCGAAGGCCGCCCCACCTCCGGGAACACGTCCTTTGCGACAGGATGGTGACGTTGACTTCCTGGAGCTTGTCGGCGCCGGTGTCGTTGTCATCTGTGTCCCCCCACCCGGCGATGAGGCAGTTACTGGATGTTCTGACCCTGCCCGGCTTCAGAGGGATCACCTGCACGGAGGCATTCAGCTGGGCTTTGCTGCTGAGCTGAATAGAGTTATGGCAGAAGAAAAAAGACCTTTAGAGCAGTTTACATGTTCTGTTACATAGCAAATAGATGTGCTTTTTAATTGTGATCATAAACGTGCCACCCTCACCTTTAGGAGCATGATGTCATTTACAAGGTTTTTGTATCTTGGATGTGGAATGGCTTTGGCAACGCGGAACTCCTGCCTTGTTTGCTCTTTGCCACTCAGGGTATCAAGGCCCAACACAACAGAGAATTCTCTGGAAATCACAACATTGTGTTTGAAGTTGAGATGTTGGGTGGATGTTTCTCTTTCCTCTCTAGTCTCTGCATGTTGCATGTAGGTGCTAATTTGTACGCTTTCATTGTCAAATTCTAACATTATTTCCCACAATTTTAAAGTTACAAATCCTTGTTAACCATTGTCTATTGAAATTACATATCTTTATTAATTGTTATGAAAGATTTTACTTTTTAAGTACTTTAAGAAATCTTGCAGACATTTCAACAAGATATCTTTCAAATGATATGACAATATGGGCTTCGTCAAGTTGGAAACCATGCCCAAATCAAGCTGCTGCTAAAAGAGTTTAAAGGAGTTCTCACTCGTCCGAGTTGCAGTGTGCTGCTGTGAGCACAAAGTCCTCCCTCACCAAAGCTCCTCCACAGAAATGTCTCCCCTCTGCCTGCAGCGAAGCCATGAAGGGGCGCGAGTGCGGGGCTGCATCTCTGCCCCCAACGATGTGAGAGCCGTCTGCCCCTGAAACACAAAACGCAGCATCTTTAATGTGTGGGTAGTCTGAAGGATTTCCCTTTGTCTGACTCAGATTGTGAGGTTCCATCTCCATCTTTAACACAGGGACAGTGAAGCTGGCTTACCTCTGAGGGCAAAGAGCAGGAGGGTCAAAGTGATGACTGCCATGGTCTTCAGTGAATGCCAGGCAGGCCTCCAACAGATTTATAGCTCATGGAGAAGAAAACTTCCTCCTTATTTCACTGTTTTTGTTGCATAATTGCTCCCGGTGGGCATTTTCGTTGCTTCATTTTGTGAAGAAACCTTTCAACAACAGGATGCCATTTATGAAAGAGGCTGATGTTGCACTGATGTGGCCTGAAAGATAAGGATGAGCGGCACGATGGCCTAGTTTTCAGGCCGAGTGCTAAACAAGCTGCGGATTTCACCACGTTCTCCTGCAAAGTCTCGTGAAAAGCCTGACTTTCAGAATCTGTTGAGCTGTTAGCTCAGACAATCAACACATGGATAAAAAGTGTAAGCCCTGTATGAACAAAGAACTAAGCTGTTGCACTTCATATTTGATCATAAAGAATTTGACTTATTATTGTTGGTGTGGTGAATTTAGAGATTTTCACTGAGGTGCTCTTTGACCTTACTGTGCCAGAACAAACCAATCACAGATACCCCTCTGTACAGTGTTGAGTGTGTGTGGTGAAATGGAGAAAAAAACCTGAGACCGGTAACCGAAATGAGCTTTTTATTCTGCGTTTCTGATCAAGAGGCTCGACGCCACCAGCCAAACACGACAGAACGCATTTTCTCATCATCCAAAGCTCTCAACACTCCTTGGTTTTCAGAATGTCTTCGATCCACTGGACGTATTTCGTGATGTCCGTGTAGACGTTGGGCACGTCTGGATAGTTGCAGTTCTCGGCCCGGTTGTAGGAAACGACACCGACCGCCATTCCGTTGCACACCAGAGGACCCCCAGAGTCCCCCTGAGGAGGGAGAATCTTGAGTCTGGTGATATTTAGGACTGGATAAACGCTTCGGACACGCAAAACCATCAAACGTACCTGACAAAATCCTTTGTCTGAGCCTGGTCCTGCACCCGCACAGAGGACGTTGGGTGGCAGACCGTTCCATGCCTCCTCACAGCTTTGGTGAGTCAGGACAGACACGTTCACCATTCTCAGCTTATCCACAATGGCGCCCACAGTTTTTATTTTACCCCATCCAGCCACAGAGCAGATTTGGTTTTCTCTGACATTCGTTTGGCAGGTTGGAAGTGGAATTGTTTTCACTCTCGGGCCGATGTTAGCACTTTGGGACAACTAGTGGCAAAAAAAAGTCAAAACTTAGTCTTATTTCATACTATTTGCAAGATGTGGAAAGAATATTAAGGGGCTTCTTATTCTATCTATCCATGGAGTAGCACTCTATCATGTGATTGAAGGATACTGATATGAAATTAACTCACTTTAAGGAGCATGATGTCATAACCCTCTCCGACCCCCTTGAATTTACTGTAGATGCATTTCTTTTCAATTTTGATTTTCATGTCTGAGTTCCTCATGAGATCGTGGGTTCCCAGAATCACATGTGTAGGTTCGCTAAAAGAGTGACATTTGAAGGGGTTATTGGTACATTTTCAACAGTAGATTCTCATTCACATCAGCCAGAAATGGACTCAGATGAAGACTGGTAACTTACCTCATCTGGCAATGTGCAGCAGTGACCACAAAATTCTCACTGATGAGAAATCCTCCACATACGTGACCCCAAAAGTTTTGCACAGAGGCCATATACTGCATGGAGTTCTCTGGTGCTACGTCCCCATTTATGATGACACCTCCATGTGCTGCAAAGAGATGAAGCAAATTTCAAATCAGGTGAAGGCCCAATTCAGTACTTCATGAGTGCGCACCAGATTTGGATTTCTCACCAATCTGGGCACAAGTGAAGAGATGGAGAAGAAGAAGTTTGTCCAGACTGAACATGATGGCAGCCGATCAACCTCTGCTTGTGGGGGGGGATAGGCAGACCCGCTTATATATAGAGCAAGTAAACATTATCTTGAAATCAAACCACTTCCGTAACTGTAGATACGTTTGCAGCTTGTATCACCTTTGATCACTTTTAGCCTTCATTAGTCACTAACTCCCACGAGTTCGATGTTATCTGTCTTTTGCCTCATATTTCACGTCATTAGATACTTGCTCGTGGTCTTCCGAGTTTGAACTGGTTACTTTCTTTGGCCTTTAATTAGGTTTCTGAGATTTTTTTAACCACCTTTAAGTTATTTCTTGTGGATGTGGCATTGGCAGGCCTAACTGCAGAACTATGGGAGAGACTGTGCCAATAACAACAATGAATTTGATTGTATTAGAGGTATAATGACCATTTAACCATTTGTTAATTGTTGATGACTTCTTTCAACTTTACAGCCCTTTTACAGTTCACTTCCACCAGTTCTCCTTTAAAGTGCCAGCAGCTACTCACTACTTCATTGGTTCTCCCTACAGTTGTGTGCTCTTTCTGTGTGTTAAAAAATAAATCATGTATCAACCAGAATCCGTTTTTTTTTTTTTCTAATTAAACATCAACATTTTTTTTCTTTAAGCAGTGCTTTGCAGATTTGGTGGTGCTATCGGATAGCAACTGGCGTTTTCATGATGCTGAATGAGAACCATAGATCCAAATCCCAACTTTGGGCTGAAAACGTGTAAAGATTTAAAAGCCGTTTCTCCACAGGCTGGCGTAACTAAAATAAGCAGCCTGCTATTTGTAATGTAGTGACTGCCTTGCATCAGTGTTTTCTAAAACTTGTCTTCTTATCTTTCATTTTACGACCATATCTCAGTAACACCCTCACGAGACAGCTTCTGCTAACATGTACGAGCTTTCTGAGAAGTTTTAAGCTGTGAAAGGAAACTGTGTTCGATCAAGTATGATTATTTCACTTCCTACCACCAAATAAACTTCAGGGGTAAGCAGGGACCCGTTGGTATGAGATCATTACTGCTGCTTTATCCCTTCAACCATCTCTGTTTTCTTTTTTTGAATCCAGCAATCACTATTGTGTGACCGGATTGAGTTGCATCGTTGGCTCATGAGGCTGATATTAAAATTTCAAGCATTCCACTTTTGTATTAACCCGGTAATCCAGCTGGATACCAATTTTTATCCTGTGCCATTTGCAGTTTCTTTTTCTCACAAGATGGTTTCAGATAAACAAAGAATGAGTTACATATAACTGACATGCCTGCTTGCCTTCCCTTGTGTGTCGTATGCCACAGGGGTTGCTGGTTCTCCCTGCAGAGGAGGCTTTGAACCAACAAATATGAGAAGAATGGTTCTGCTTCTCTTTAATTTTTATCAAAAGACCTGAAGTTTATTTATGTATAATCCCGACTCTCATTGATTAATCTTTGCCCCAGATCTGAGGAAGTCTGGAATCTAAGTAATCAAAATAGATACAGTTTATCATAAAGGGAACATTTTTTAGGTGTGATGGTGCCACTAATTGTCAGACAGATGAATATGATTCTGACTCAATCATCGATCATTTCCCCGATTGATTTATTCATTTTAGATTTCTACTCTTGCACTGAGCTCCTAAAATCTTTCTGGTTTTACGCACTGGTTCCTCCTCTCTCTCTGGTGCATTTGACACATGTCTACAAGGACAACACTCAGGCATTTATCATCACATTTCTGGAATCTGCATGAATTAGGAGCTGGCCTAATTCGAGCTTGTACAAGATTGCATTTGCAAGAGAGGCATTCTAGCTCTCTGCTATGGAAAGGAGGCTTTGCATGTGTCTTGGTGATTGCTCCTTTAGCTGCTAGTAAATCTGTTTAGGCAGTTTGCTGTACAAGCTGTAGGTAGTCTGTCCCTTGTAAACTCCTCTGTGCATTCAGCACATTTTGTGAAAGTGTGTTTGTGAGCCACTAAAAATGTGTGGATGTATCAAGCAGCCTTTTCTGGATAGAAATAACAGTTTCGAATGCAATAGTTTGCAGCTTTGATGAAGGGAAAGCCTCATTTCCCATTTTCCCCTTATTTTTTCCATGTTAAATGCATTTTTTTCTTTATTTTATCTGAACTTTTTTATTACAGGTCATCTCAGGTTCACCAGCTTTTAGATTTTAAATAGCACACTTCTCTGTTCAGCAGAAACCTTCGTCTTCACACAAAAACCACAGTCTCTTTATTCAGAACCCTTTTGCAAGATTTTGAAACCAGTAAGGTTAAAGACGAAATGGTGTGCAAACCCAACAAGTGTCAGACGTGTAGTTTCAAAATGTTGCCTTCTTTGGTGTTCAGTCTGAGGCTTTGTGGTATGGTGAACAACAAAGTAAAATAAGCGGCTTGTTGACTTAATATTCACCGTTAAAGAACAAAACTTTTCAAATGCTTTATGATTAACTTTATGTGTTTTCCACAACTCTGTTCATTAAACATGAGAATTCCATCCAGTCACAACCTAAAAGACTAGCAGTTTATATGCAGCGGTTTATATAATCTTAATGATTTCCAATGTTCATTTACAGGCACTAAACAGGCACTAAACACCAAGGCAAATTCCTTGTAAGTCTGAAAACCTACTTGGCAATAAACCTGATTCTGATTCTGATTCTGACATTTCTGATGTCCACACATATTAATATCAATAAACATCCACTATTGTTCCATTAAAAAAAATCATGTTGAAAATTAAATGTGGTGAAATTCTACTGTCAGTGAGCAGCATTTTCACTCCAGCTAATAAGAGCTGTGCTCAGACACTTTGAGCTCTTTTCAGCTAAAATGAGCTTCCAGTTGTGTCTGAAGATCTGGAGCTGTAGTCCAGCTCGAACAGGTCAAAGTTTTTAGCCAGTCCTGGTGAGCATGGATGAAATAATGCAGGTTCAGTCAGAGAAGCTTTTTGCAAGCTGCCTTTATTCATACTTCTCCACCACAAAAAGTCAACCTTCGTCTCAGTGCAAAACGCCGCTGCTTTCCACCCACCTTAAAATCCCTCGGAGTGGCGTTGACCATCTGAGAGACTGGACACAAACTGCTTTGACACGAATGATATTTTGAGCAGGCCTGACTGTCTAAATCTGGTCACATTGCGTCTCATAGTGTCATCATAAACCTTGAAACATCAATGATGAAACCGCGGCAGACCGATGAGATAACATGAGAATTTGATGGACTTCCTGTTAATTAACTCAAATGATTTCATATTTCTATTTTACTGAGAGTTAAACCAACCATTTCATATGACACATGTCAGAAGATAAAAAAGCATCCGGTTGGTGTCTGTGGGGTTCGAAGTCATCGTCATATATGTGGTTCATGTTTTTTTTTTATAGCCCCTCTACATCAGTGAAAAGTAAAGTTCAATATGAAGTCCTAAAGTACGTCTGGTCTGAGAAAATGTGCGGCTCAGCAGAGTAAGGCAGTTGTTTCTCACTACAGAGTCGATATGGGTCACACTTATAGAAATAAAGGGAGAACACTCAATGCCCTTTTCTCTTTTTTGAGTCTTGAGCTGTTACGCTTTCTTTCTTTCTTTTTTTTTTTTTACAAAATAGCGCTGCATTGAAAAAGCAGGACGAGAAAACGGAAACCACAGTCACAAAGCTGCACTTTTGATGCAGTGAGACTAAAATCTTACCGTGGTGGCTTTCACAGTTTGAAACTCCGTGTAGGAGGAGGACATGCAAAATGACGTCTTACTACACATCACGCACATTTATGCTCTTCTGGAGGTAAAGCAAAGGGGATTTATTCACTAAGCCCCCCCCCAACCGTCTTTCTTCAGTCTTCCTGAAGTGTTATGACTCAATTTTTCTTTCTCAGAAACAGAGTAAGAAGTAATCTCACTGACACTTGGCTTTTACAATGAAGCACACAACTTCCTTTTTTCTTAATATTTTCTTGTAAGAATTTTTTCTTGTATTTCTCTGTTTTGGACATCTTCTGTTTGCGTTTCTCTTTCCCGCTGCACCCCACAACTGCGGCAGTCTGCCTGCATGCAAACTTCTAAACCGCAGAAACTGAACCTCGGCTAAGAGATTCAGAGATGAAAAAGAAAGAAGAGACTCGAGAGAACCACTGGAAACTGTTTGGTGTGAGCTTGTTCAGGATTACCAGACAGAAGCTGTGTGACTGGATAGGAAAACCTCAGAAACCACAGTTTCCACATCCACAGAGCATGAATTCTCTTATAGTCACAGTTTGGTGGCAAATCACCTGCTTTTAGGCTTCTCATGAGCTATAATTAAATACTGGTTCTGTAAAACAGCTCGTCTTTTAATGTCATGGAATGAGATATGTAGGTAAACACAAAGCAAAATAGCACACCAATGTGCACTTTGCATGTTTAATGGAGCTAAAACAACACACAATCCTCCTTTGAGTTTTATTTTATTAATAAGAATTTCAGTAATGTGACACACTGTACATCAGCTACAAAAAAGAAGAAAGAACTTTAATTTTATTCTACTGGTGTTCATAATAGAGCTTTGGGGAATTTAATGCCAAGAGGTGATCTTGTTTTCAATCATAAGCAAAAACCATGTTTGCGTTTAAATACACATGGAGCAAAACAACACAGCTGCTTTAATAAAGTTCATAAAACAGAAATATCACGGTATGCTTAACAATGCTTTTGCTTGACAATTCTTTTGATCCAGGGTAAGTATTTAGAAATGTCAGTGTAGACGTTGGGCAAATTTGGGTAATCGCAGTTTTCCCTAAAGTTGAAGGAAACAATGCCAACGGCCGTCGGCCCGAACACCAAAGGACCACCAGAGTCACCCTGGAAGGACAAAACCGTCTGGTCAGTTTTCCCATTCTTTACGATGGGAAGCGCTACAGAAAAGACATAAAAACCAATCCAAACGTACCTGACAGAAGCCTTTCTTTGAGCCATATCCTCCTGCACAGAGGACATTATCTGGGAGCTCCACGCCGCGGGGTTTCCACCTCTTCCTGCACGTCTCCTGGTCCACCACGTGCACTTCAGCCACCAGCAGCGCGTCGGTCACTTCTCCAGCCGTTTTCGTGAAGCCCCATCCAGCGACTCGGCACTTGGCTTTATTCCTGAGTTTCACCCCGGGTTCTGGCAGCCGAATCGGTTGCAGGTTGCCGCCAAGTCGAGCTCTGCGAGACAGCTGGGAAACGCAAAAAAAACCCCCCTCAGATCCAGAACTGGGACCTGATCTTTAAAGCTCCACGATGCCAGAAATGACCAGACGATGGGCTCACCTTGAGAAGCATGATGTCACGACCAGACTTCACATTTTGAAAATCTGGGTGTTTGCATCGGGTGACGTTGTATCTCATTTTCCCATCGTCCACCTTCTTGAGATTGTGGGTTCCGAGGACCACGTCCATTTGATCTCTGGATGAGGGAGTTTTTTTTTTTTTTTTTTTGGTCAAAGGTTTTGCTGACTGAAAGCGGCAATTTTTGTTTAGGTCAACTTACTTCTCACAGTGGGCAGCCGTGACCACAAAGTCTTCACTGATCAGAAACCCTCCACACACGTGCCGTCCATTGCTCTGGACGGAGGCCATGTACGCCATCAGTTTCTCAGGGACCCTTTTGCCATTGATGATCTCACTCCCCAGAACTCAAATAATAAAAAAAGAAAGGTAAAAAAACAAACAATTGCATCAATATAGATATAAATGACTGAGATGTAAAACTACTTTAAACCCACCACTTTGTCCAAGACTTGCCAGAAGATAAAGAAGCACCGTGTTGTGCTGAGTAAGCATATTTTCTGAGGCAGGCTGAGCCTGTTGTGTCTGGGGTGTGAAGTGGTCGTGGTATATAAAGCCTGTGTTTCTTTTTTTGGAACGGGGTGAGGGTCTTCTGCAGCGGTGCGGTTCTCTGTCTGACTTGCAGCCCCTGACCACGTGAGAAGCTGACAGATCAGGGCTGGGTCGGCCTCAGTTCGTCACTTCTCACAAACACCTCCGAACGCGACACAGTGAGGTAATCTGACTCACGCTCGGCCTACCGAGGAAGCATTTGACCCTTTTGTTGTTTACTCAAAGAGAAATCCTTTTTCCGAAATGACTAGAACAAGTTATTCATGGTCCATATCCAGGTCCTCAGCCTCCTCAACTTGGGTGACGATTCTAAATTAGCCATAATAGTGAGATTGAGCACCAATGGCCTTTTCTTTCAGTTTTCTTCATAATGACTGGGATGGGCTCCTGTTCCTCCTCAACTCCTAAAAGAAGGTCATAAACTGACAAATTGATGACTGAGAGAACATATTGAAATGCAGAAAAAGTGCTTTTGGGAATTTGCTTAGTGTTTTAATGAGTAGATGATTCGTGTTTCAGGGCCCGGGACTTTTTAAAAGTAGATTTCTCTTTTGGGTCCAGTCACTTTCCATTTTTAAACCACCAATTCTCCTTTTCTGCTTGTGTATCAGATGCAACAGATAAAACATGGCAGACATGCACTGATTTAACAAATCCAGAGCTCGGATCAGATCTAAAACACTGCTTTTCTATCGGTATCTGCTGAATGGGATCACATGTGGTGCAGTTTGATTCTGTTCTCTGTATGAGTCGCTTTTTTTCTCCAGACCTTTAGACTAATATGAATCATTCTCGTTCTGTTACGGCAACACTTTGGACCACACGGGTTCCATTGAATTAGCCTTCTACTCTGCAGCGTCATCCCGCGGTTTTGACTTGGACTCGTCGAGAGGAAACAGATGTGCTGTTCTTTGAAATGCATGTGCTCGACAAAGCTCAAAACCTCAGCCTTTTCTTTTCTTC